CTTTAAACATAAATTTAATTTACTTAATATAGATAATAGACGTTTAAGTCATTTATACATATATTTTTATTAAGATATTCTTATCATTAGTAATTTTTATCTTTTATGTTAAGTATATCAATTTTATTATTAATTATTGATATTTTACCACGTATATTTAAAGGTAGATCACTTTAGCTTTGCTATAGAAGATACCTTTCAATTAAGATATCTTATAAATGATACTTGGGGAAAAGAAAAGAATGCTCCTATATTCTTCTACACTGGGAATGAAGGCAGAATCGAAGTTTTTGCCGAAAATACGGTAAGAATAAATATAATCTTAGATATAGATCTTTATTAATTATTATATTTTATCTTTATGTGTACAGTAGAGAATAAATTACACAAAATCATAATATTTGTTGACGAATATAGTACGATATCATTCGTGCATGATGCCAGAATTTTATTTTAATCTGGAAAAAAAGGGTATAATTCTAATCCGAAGAGAATTTAATACGGTTGATCCAATTGCGATTTGTTATTAATAATGACAACTCACGTGTCTAAATCAGCACTAGAACGAAGTTAATGTACATGTAATGTATATTTAATCGATCTGAAATATTTGGTAGGGCTTCTTATGGGAAACTGCTCCGCAATTCGGCGCACTGGTGGTTTTTGCTGAGCACCGTTACTACGGTGAATCGTTGCCCTATGGCAACAAGTCCTTCACTGATCCGCGACATCTCGGGTATCTCACATCTCAGCAAGCTCTGGCCGATTACGTGGAGCTTATTCAGCACCTAAAGTCGAGGCCGGAATACAATTATAGTCCGGTAATAGTTTTCGGCGGATCGTACGGTGGTATGCTCAGTGCTTGGATGCGTATGAAATATCCTAACATTGTTCAGGGGTGCGTTTATCAATGTTTGGTAATAGTGCTGTTACGATTCTATTCTACTTATATAGTTAAAAGTGCACGTACGCACAAAAGAATAAATCCGCTTCGTGTGAATGTTAATGCAATCTTCATATCTATCTGATATTTATATATAATCTTCATTTTATTTAGACGATGATCAATTGCGTCGTACTTACAAACAATATTATCGATTCGTTGTAGCGCGATTGCAGCATCCGCTCCGATTCTGCAATTCACCGACGTCGTGGCGTGTGAAGCGTTTGCCCGGATAGTAACGTCGGACTTTCGCGCTTCGAGTCCAACGTGTGCCAAGCTCATTCAGCATGCATGGGGCGCGATAACCGAAGTGACATCGAACGGTAACGAAACAGTGTCTATAGTAATAGTAATTCAGTGTAATTCGTTCGCCGGGATTTCTTTCTTATCCTCATCGTCGTCGTTCTCTTTCTGTTTTAGACGAGGGCAAAAAGTGGTTGTCGGACAACTGGAAGTTGTGCGAACCGCTGAAGACTGCGGAGCACGTAGAAACGCTAAAAGATTTTTTACAGGAAGTCTACACGGACCTGGCCATGGTTAATTATCCGTACGAGACTGATTTCTTAACGCCGCTACCAGGCCACCCGATTAACGTGAGTAATTTGATATTTCAATTGGTGAACTTTCCTTCGACAAATTCCTGTGGGTTCCTGTCTGGTTTCAAAATTCCCGCACGGATGAAACAATTCCGTTGGTGTAACTGAATTTTTCGCTGTCTGAAGATCAAACGAAAATTCGGTTTTATAATAACAGATAATAATAGAAATATTTCTGTAGGAGATTTCTATTCGGTCAATTGTTCTCAGTTGTCGCAACAAGAATTCTAATGCAGCTGAGTGCTCACATTTCTTGTCATCGAGTTTTCCTTTCTTGTAACGGAACTTTTATTTGGTTTTTCTTCAGTTATTCAGAAACGGAGTTTCTTCCCAGTGTGCTCTTGTATTTTTAACCGGAGCCCTTTGAAGCTGCCAATTTTTTCCTTCTCTCGTTCAGGTCTTTTGTCGGCACTTGACGAACTCGTCGTTGACGGGAAAGCCGCTGTTATCGGCGCTCCACGGAGCTATCAGTATTTACACGAACTATACCGGTAAAGCAACTTGCATGTCCATAAAGGACGCGGAGCCGGGCTTGGACGCCCAAGGATGGGACTATCAGGCGTGCACGGAAATGGTGATGCCAATGTGTTCCGACGGTATCAACGACATGTTCGAGCCGTCAGAATGGAGCTTCAAGGATTACAATAATACTTGCTTCAAGAAATATTCCGTGTCCCCGCGGCCTAACCAAATTTGTGAGCAATACGGCTGCAAAAATCTCACTACCGCCACAAATATCAATTTCAGGTACATAAGACAATAAAATTCTTTTTTTTTTTCATTTCGAGCATCTTAAGACTTTTCTTAAAACCAACAAATAATCGTGTATGCAAGGTGTCTTGGAATAACCGCACATGGAGTGCATCGAGAGATTCTCGATACTAAACGAAGCGGTTTAACGTTTACCGAAATTCAGTAAGCAAAAAGTTTAGTAAACAAAACGTTGCTTCGTTTGGCATATATAGACCTCACACTCTAATTTTTATTCATTATATCATTCTTACAATAAGTCTTTTACAATATAGAAATATCCCTACAATTCTCTATTTCTGCATTTGCATTTCCACTGTGTTTCGCACAGTTTTCTCCCTTGTTCATCGGCGAATTCTTTATGTTCTTTACATTCCCATTCCTCGCGTGCTTTTAGCAACGGATTGATGGATCCGTGGGCGAGCGGAGGTGTGCTGCGCAACTTGTCTTCGTCAGCGATAGCCATATTAATTCCAGACGCCGCGCATCATCTCGATTTGCGGGAGAGCAACAGCAACGATCCATACGACGTAATCCTCACGCGCAAGTTCCATCGGTACACCATCAAGAAGTGGATCGACGAATATCGCTAGAATGACACTTTATCACTTCAGGTGATAAAAGAGATTCTTGGAATTTTACCGAGAACAATTATCGCACGCCCATCTCTCGAAATTCTCCTTTATTTTGCAAAAATTATAAATACAAGAACAAGTACGCGTACACATCGCGAGAACAATAAATACTTAGCACTGTCGTGCGGCTACTTGCAAAATTAAATAAAGCATCGACAAAGCTCGTTCGAAAACATACGCGAAGATGTTCCGATATCACAGTAAATAATAATAAATACGCGCGTCAGGCGTTGTATAAAAGATTCGACCAAGTGTAAAGTGCTCTTGCAGAACAACACGAGAGTCTGAAGGACATATCGAAACGTATATCGGAACGATCAGACTGTCTTTCAGACGTCCTTGTTGTTTGGATGTTTCATGTACGAATATAATTCCACTAGAGCGCGTAAAAATTGTCGTTTCTTCAAATGAGGACTCGCAAAACGCCATTATCGAGATCACTTAATACTAATACTTGACACTAATTGTATGTGCTGTATTATTTTCCCTAGTTTATTTCTTTAGCGTATTTAATTTTATGCGACGAAGAAGAAATCATACGTTGGACGTGAGCGAACAAAATTACCAAAGACATACGCATTTCTATATATAGGGAAAGCTCTTTTCTTAAGAATATCGTATCTTTAACTGAATTTATAAACATGTTATTAATTTGTCATGTGATGTGATATACTGATTCTTTCGAATTGTCGAATTCGTTTCTTTTCCACAGGTACAGCATAGTTTTCATTTTCCCAACGGGCTTATACATATACATAGTTTTCCACGTCAATAACGGTCTTTCTCGCATATTATTGTTAACACGAAAATGTGTATCTCTAGTTATTTAAATACACAATCTGAATTTGTGTCGAGGTGCTAATAGTTTTATATATATTATATATAAATTAAGAAAAAAAAGAGTTGCTTTGTTACTTGTAGGTAAAATACTTGTGTACCTCTCATGACGTGTTCTAAATGCGAAAGGAATGCGTTTAAGGTTTTAGTTTTAGGTACGTCTACTGTATCTACATCTCGTAACGAATATCTAAACCAGTGTCTGAGTGCATCAACCATCGGCTTCCCTGCCTACCGAGTCCATGTTAAACTGCATCTTCAATTGATCGAATGCGATGTACGCGGTCACGCACGTTCTCGACACATTCGTCCGTATAAAAAAAAATGTCAAAATCTTAAAAATATATATGCGTTGCAAAAATCACATTGACGGAAACGTTAAAACGGATGTATTGTATGTAATTCTTCATATCTCTTCTCGATCGCGATACGAGGAACACGGCACGATCGCTCTAGCGAGTCGCGGATGCGTCCGAAACTAAAAAAAGATCTACAAAAGTGTGAGAAAAGATAAACCTCCTCCCCCGTGACATTGAGTGGCCGAGGATCTGCGTCCTCAGTGCGGTGTACGTCGATGCGCCGTGGTTGGCCTGGGTACACCGGAACGGCTTCTCACTTTCTTCGGTTGCACGAATGTATTGTCTATTCCAGTGTTGTAAGAGAGATATATATTTGACATGTCCGGCGGAGTTGCCTGCGAATGAGACGAATTTACGAGATGATAAACGTTTCGAGGCGACTTGTGCGGGAAAATTTCAAATTAGAAATTTCAGCTTCCATGAAGGAAGACCGATCTTGAAAAGATCCTTTTTTGTGCAAATTAATGATATGCAAAATGAATGAATCTCACGTCTTTATTATTTCCTGTCGGCGACGCGGTCTGCGCTTTACGCATGTTATTCCCCGTGTACGCCACGCATTTCAGCTGCCATTCGCCAATATCCTCGTTCCAATGAACATACCTCTTGATCATTGTCTGCATGGGTGTGAATACAAGATAAATATTTAATAGTAAAGTAAAATAAATAATCATAATTTATTCAGATGTTTATAATTAGTGAGAAATATTTAATAAATTGAACAAATATAACTTAACCCGTTAACTCAATAACTTTTACGAATATTTCTCAGATCGTTCTAATTGCCTACCAATCAATGTTTCTCTCTGTCGCATCGATCTTTCTATTTCAAACATAATTGTCGCACTGTTACTTTTTCCGCTCGGGGACGGAGAGATGTTTGCACGTACCTGATACTGCACGGGAATGTAATGATTTACAATCAGATTCTGCAGCTGCAGTTCTCTACCGATTCCCCGCACGCCCTCCAGAAGGCCTTCCATCTCCCTTTGGTGCTCCTGCTGCAGGTCGGACAACTCCGCCTTGACGGACATCAGCATCGTGTACACCCGCGCCAATTTCTTCGTTTTCCCGGCCGCTTCCTCCTGCAGCGAGGAGTACTTTTCTTCGATGTCGATGCGCTCGGCCTCCTTCGCCTTGATAGCCTTCTTCAGTTGCTCCTCCCTGCTTTTCCGCTGCTCGAGCTCGATCGCCGCCGCTGCCAGCAATTGCTCCTGCGCCTCTGCCTTCTCCAACAGATTCTCGCCGCCTACTAGTATTTTGTTCTGCAGATTTTGCATCTTTTCCCGGAGTGCTTCTTTCTCGCTCCTGGAATCAGGGTCCAGCTTCATCAAAATGTTCTCCTCCACGTATTATCTCATTATACGTTTGTTATCGGTTTAATAATACATGTGTTTATATATCGTTAAAGATGATGTTTCGTTTCACATTTGTCGAATTAATTCTTCATTTTGACAAACTCACTGGGTCCTCTTCAGTTCAATGACGTCCTTGTCCACGGGGCTCTTGTCATCTCTCTCGGCCTTATCGACTTTCTCCGTCGAGTCTGTGTCACCGTCCTCCAACTCCTCCATTGTCAGCATTTGACTCCTCCTGCGTCGGACTTTCCTGTCACGCTTCGTCTTCTCCCTCAACTCCTCCGAATCGTCCGACTCTTCCTCGGACTCCGAGAGCTCCGCACCGTTCTCCTCCAGTTGTTTGCGCAACTGCTCGATCTCAACTTGAAATTGACGGAGCAGAGCGTCCTTCGGGTCCTCGTTGATTCTCGCGCGGTTCTTGATATTTTTCGCGCGATTCGCATAGCGCAGAGTACTTATAGTCTCATCGTAATTTACGTCTGCCGGACTGATGTTCGCGCACTACAACATCATAATATCGGGAACGTTATTGTTCTTTGAAAGAAAAAAGTCAAGTCTTGAGTAATAGCATTCATGAAATTCCTTTTGTAATAAGTAATTGCATAAAGTACTCGCGCTATCTCATCACCTACCATCAACGTTTTCGAATTTCCACCCAGTGAGTCCTGAAGCAACCTGGTCAGTTTGGAATTTCTGTAAGGCACGTGAGAACTTTGACCATCAACCAGTGCGGATATTACGTTTCCTAACGTGGACAGTGATAAGTTAATCTTAGTGGCTTCACGAAGTCGCACCCCGGTTGCCTTTGTTCTGCTTTGTCTCTCTGATCCCTGTAGCCCAACAAACATGAGGAGATAGAGAAGTTTCAAACAACGTCCCATGCATATCTATATAGCGAACAGTATTTTTCACGATTGTGTAACAAACGCGTTAACAAACGTACGGCTAGATCCACCAAATGAAGCTTCCCCATTTTTACATGTTGTTCCCCATCTTCACCGATCTGACTAGATTCCACCGTGATCGTAAATATTGCGTGAGATCTCGAGCTGGACACATTCATGGCGGTTGCCCCGACGACGCCTGCAAGTTCAGAATTATTTTTAACATGTACACACATATTGTACATCGGTTTGTTGAACGTTGTCACTCACGATTCTTATTGCCCAGGGACATTATGCGGTCCAAATCGTCAGCATTGTTCACGACATATCCGCTAAGATCCTTCACGAACACTCCGATGTCTGGTCTTTCCTTCACCTCCAGCCGGGTATTCTGATCCTTACCAAGAAGGTCCCGAACTTCCTCATTGTAAATTTCCAAGTACGTCGCGCGCACTAGAAATCTATCAACGTTAATCATTAAACTCACTTTTTGACGCGGGAATTGAAATACATTGAATCTACCTGGATGGCAAGAGTATCTTAATCATATGTTAATTGCGCTGATGACTTTTTAATTTGTCAGAGTGGTAAGAGAGAATCTCTGTCATATTTTCGTCATTTACATTAAATTGTAATTACGATGCTACGTCATATATCACGAATTACGATATAAAAATATGCACTGTTTCTAGCGATTCACAAACACGTCAATGCCTTACTTCTGATTTTCGTCGGCTTTAGCTATGTGCCCGAAGATCTGCGCAAATGTGTTTGGAATAATTCCTCTGGCTTGCGGAGAAGTTTTAGCGCCCGACATGGTGTAGGTCTTGCCGGTGCCAGTTTGGCCATACGCAAAGATCGTTCCATTGTAGCCCTGTAGTACCTTGTCTACTATAGGCCTGGCAGTTTCATTGTAAATGTCCACCTGTGTAGAATCCGTGTCAAACGCTGCGTCGAAGGAAAAGACTTTCGGTGGTTCTCCGTGCGCCGCATTCGAATTTTCTATAGTGATTTCGCCGTTCAGCGCATCCACATCTATTATATTCTTGCAGTGGCCATCCAACTCCTTGCTGCTCAGAGGTCGGACTCTCACCACCACCCTAACATTTTCGATTTCTCCTAGCTCTGTAGAATTATCCTGGACAAACATTATAGGCTATGTAAGAATAAATCCTGCATTTTAGCATAAGTATTGCGACTTGGACACGCGCAATTTCTGACAATGCATTACACCGGGATGGCACCATATTCCATGATATAGTAAAAAAAAAAAGAAAAATATTGATATAAACTAAACACCATTGTGTTAAATATATTATCAAGAGTAATGATCAGACTGAGATAATGGAATAATTATAATGAGAAAATGATGTTGGAGGTGAGAAGGCTCTTCTCCGGGTTGAGGCTTCCCCAATCAAGTTTGACGTTTGAGATATCTGACGTTTGAGTTTGTCGTCGATCTGGGGAAAAAGTATGCACTCGTGCAAAATGATACTAACTTCGGTCCCCGGCATTGCGGATCCGTTTTTCCACAGTAATCACATAAAAGCGCACTTTTTCCCACTTTTCTTACAGCATAAATGTATAAACGTCACGATACTGTCGGGCTAGCAGACGACCTCCGTAAACAAATGGATCGATTTCTGCAGAGAGAAGCCTGAGAGAGCGTCACAAGGGTTTCTTGGAATGCTTCCCTCGTTGCGCCCCCTGCAGAAATGGGCGTAAAGCACCTGTTACGCCCACTTTTCGGCACTACCGGTCAAATCATTGGTTCGTATCTCTGCTATGTATGAAATAAAAATTTATATATATTTTATTATATATATTTTATTATATATATTTTATTATTATATTTTATTATGTTCTATTATTTTTTCTGTACAGACTCTTAACCATATTATAATATTTATTCCAGAATTACATATTTCTCAGAGAGAAATTATGCGAGACTGAAGCTATAATGTTCCAAATTTGAAGCTGCTATAATAATAATAAATAACAATAATAATAATAGTAATGCTGCTATACCTTTTTGTATTTTTTGCTATCCAGCGGCAACTTCGAACATGTGACCCGTTTTGACGCTAAAAATGTGCGTCGAACATCAGCATGAAAAGGCATCTTAATACCTTGCGTACAATCAATGTACCGAGCGGACCTTTCAGTAAGTCCTTGGATCTGATTGGTACGTGCTTTCAGACCTGACCAAGATCTAAAAGTACAGACTTGCCCATCCCTAAATGACAGGTAATGTTTGTATCTGTCATATACATGGTTCAGTGTAACTCAAGTAAACACAGCGACATTTCGAGCAACGATATCACTCGGTTCGTCCACGTAATATTTCGACATGGGCAACTGTTGCGCTTCCTGTTACAAAGAACAGTCGTCATACGAAGATCTTACTCCTGATCGGGTATGTTTTCGCCGTATAAGGGTTATGTATGCACATTCAAATATTTTTGCCTGCGCGATTAAGATTCCTTTAAGTCGCAGTAACGTGTCCGGCAAATGACGTTTCTAATGTTCTGCGAACAAATTCCCCGCATCTTTCCTTCATAAAGTAATTTTTTACTCATTATCTGAGTTTTATATTTGTATTTCTTAATTTTCTTCTTCCTACATATTCTTAATACGACACACAAGATTGTGCTACTTGGTATATTTTACATAAATTGTGACATGTATTTGTTCGATCAGGAGACTATGCGAAGGAGGCAAGTTGAAGCAGCAGAAAGAAGAATAGCGGAGCAGCAACAACGAGGTATAAAAAATATAGATGTTGTTAAAAGACAGCAGAAGTTAACGCTGGAACGTGAGAGGCGAGAACAAGAAGCTGCTGCCAGCAATACACAACCTAAGTTAAAAGTAAAAATATCAACAATTGCAATCTTACATTATTTGGCTGAATTACATCGCATATAATTGATCATACATTTGAATAAGACTTTATTAAATTTGATATATCTATTTCAGTGGCAGGTGAACTAAATTGTGGAGAGGTACTGTTTATATATATATATATATATATACCGCATACATTTAATTGCAAGATGTTAAATATATTTAAAAGAAGTATGTCTAATTGGATGTGGTGATACAGGGATTTCGTGTTATTAACAACATGTCACGATCACACAAGTGCAATCTTATCTTGTACAATTTAAGAATTCACAGAATTAATTTATAAGAGTTAGCGAGTTTTTAATTTAAACATCACGTCATCTGAAACCAAACGGTTGATACTAACGTTTGTCTTTGGCTAGCTTAATTTGCATCACAACACTTTTATAATGAGTGTGTTCTGAGAGACACAATTGATATGTTGCGTTTGTTGAGAAATTTTATATCACATTTGAAATTTCACTCAACTTCATTCAACTTCTGCTTAAATCTATTAAATACATAATTGTCCATTTTCTTATTCGGTGACATATTTATGGAGAATATGTATGATATATTGTTGAATAATTTATTTGTAACGTACACACGTATATAAAGATATATAAATTATATATTTACATATTTATATGTTTGCAATTTTACACATGCATAATTATAAATTATAGCTAAATAGAACAGCAAAACAAAGAAGTATTTTAATCCATTGTTAGCTTTACTTTTAACGAAAATGTACTTTCGTGATAGCCAGGTTTCAAATTTTTTATTTTATCGGTGTGCCTATATTTTAAAAAATGTCTGTGTGTGCACTGAGAAATAAGACTAAAAATGAGTCATGATATAATCACTTATACATGAAGATTTATATATATTGAGCTACATTTGATATTTGTAATATTTGATAATTGTGATATATGAAAGAGGTAATTCCCCAATTAAACTCTAATATTATATTTATATCTGTAATATATTGTATTTGGAAATAATACAAAATATACATTTACTATTAGAATATTACTACTATTATTATATTATGTTACATATATTGTAAAGCAGCAATATGCTGCATGGTAAATGTACAAATGTATCAGAAATTACAAAGATATTGAAATGATGTTTCAATATATTTTTTATTCATTCGAACGTGTCTTTTGCATTAAATTTTGCATATATTAGAAAAATCTTAATATATATAAATTACGATTTAATATATATATATGTATATATATATATATGTATAATTTATCTTATATAATTCTCTCTCGTCACAAAAATTATGTACTAAAGAGTGAAACTTCTTGTTAATACAATTGTACAGAACGCTGAACGACATCATATGGAATGTTATTATTAAAATGCTGAAAATGATATGATGTTAGGTATTAATAGCTCGTAAAAAGAATGATGTGCATAGTTTGTTGTTTGTAAAAATAACTTTTATGCGTGTTCTTTTTTTCCCCGTAGAGAAATATTGATGGAATACACGTTCCAGAGATTGGATGTTGCCCCCCGAAACACGACAAAAGAAAGTTTCACTTTTTTCTTATATTAATGTGCGTTGAATCGCGATGTTGTATAACAACAACAGTATCTTGTTTTCTTTGAATTTCATATCTTCCCTATCCGATGGACTGACCAAGAGCGAAACAGCTTTTTCGTCGACTTATTCTTAAGCTCCTTTCCGTGAGCGATTTGTACTTCCAACGAGGCTCCGTTATTCAACGCCAACCACGTGTGAATCTCGTCGCTAGCCGCGGAAACTCCTAGATTCAATCACGAACAAATGAATTTCACATATTATGTGCAAACACCGAATATAATTTAGCACATCCCTTTGAGACCCAGGAAATTTTTACCTGGAAACCTTTTGTGTATAAGCGCTTTTCCTTTCAATACTATTTAAAAATCTTAGGGAGAAGTCGTTGGAGAATTTTTTCTTATATGCACTGAAAGAAGAATTTGGCACAACAATTATCAAGATTTAAACAAGTTGAGCAGTTTTAACTAAACATTGTTTGATTACCGCAACCAAATCCTCTCCACTCAGTACCATATAACTGTATATAGTATATGGCACTAAATGTTTGGTTACAATAACTAAGCAAAATTTAGTTGAAACTATTTAACCAAATCTTGGTGATTGTTACCAAATCCTTCTTTCAATATGGATCCTAGAAAGCCATTATTTGTGTCACGGTTGTGCGATGGTTGAGCACACAACGAGTCACACATAGATACAATATCTGGCGATTGTGATGGTTCGGGTTTAAAGGGATATACGACGTATAAAGTCATTATCACAACATGATGCAATCGAATATATCTTACACTACGGAAGAATATTTAAAAAGTACCTAGCAATTCGTGTAGGGTTATACGCCGACTGGCCAACAATTCCTTGCTGGCGCTTCTGATCTCAAATATAAGTAACGCTTGCCTCGGCACACCGTCGCCTTCTATATGGAAATCGATACTGAACTGAGGATTAGGCATAGCCGGCAACAGTCGCGATTTAGCGATGGTCTTACCGCCATTGGCCGACATGATCTTGTCTGGACTGGTGCACCTGGAAATCCTCGGCTCCGTCATCGAGTCTACAGAAACGGACGTTGTTGTGCACGCCAACATCGAGTATACTTACGTTTGGAGCTTCACGCGACAGTACAACTGGGCGATATGCGCTACGTGAAGGCCTTGCGCTTGAAGAACCTTCCCTTCCACTCCGGAATACTTCTCTCTAGTACCGTTAACGATTTTCAGATCTATGGAAAATCATACGGGATTTTATTTTGACGTATCAAATTTCCGAATCCTCCTAAAAGAGATATTCCTTTCCAACAGGAAAAGGTTTCACTGTTTACAGAGAACACAGACAGCGAAACTTTTGCCGAGACAGATTTTGCGTATTGTTCGCTATAAGTTTGGTCGACGGCTTGTTGTTAACAGAAATACAACAGGATCTGCTAACGTGATTGTAGAAACCAAGCGAGATCTATCACTGTTCCGTCACCATTTAAATAAAACATATTAGCAGATCCTGCTCGATTCTTGTCGCCAATCTGCCGTCAAGTTATCTCAGCAAGTTTTGTCAACAGAACACGAACTCAATGATGGATCTACCGTGATATTTTAATCAACCCGCCGGCATACTACTAATATTTTGTTTACCGGAAATTAACGTATTTTCATTTTAATATATTTTCTTCTCAGCGTTTCCTCAAATCAATGATATAGATGATACAACGAAGAGTTACGTAACATTTTAGTTTGAAAGAATATACGCATGAAAGATTTCTACGTTATTATATTGTACGTAACATTGAGGCTCATCAATCTTCTCAGTGTTACTCACTAACCATTCGGTCTCAATCTTAACCGCGGACTGGGCTGCCTTATCCTGCCCAGCATATCTGGTTGCGAGACCGCGTGAGCCAGACCGGATTCCGACAGGAGTTCCGTGGCGTCGGCCTCTCCGCCGCCTCTCGGCTCCAGACTCAACGTGATACCCTTGTTCTCGTTCTTATCCTCTATGTTCACTTCCGACCGGAATCTACGAAGCTTCAAGCCCCGCTTCACCTATCGATTACACGATGTGCCTTGAAGTGATGTTGACGTTGAGCAAGATAATTCGTGTTTTTTTTTTGTACCTTCTGTTTCATTACGCGGAAGCTGTTGTACTGCGGTAACTTCTTCCCGAAGCTCTGCTCCGGGCTGGGAGTCAGGCTATGGTGAGAGGACCGCCTCTCCCTGCTTTTGCTCGTGTCAGCCTCGTCAACGGAATTATCCGCGGCGGATTCCGCGATGACCTTCGGAATCCAGAAGCTCGTCGTCCCGTTCACCTCGTTCGATTCTTTGCTGGTCACACTGGCCTTATCTGTGTCACAAAATGTAATCAACCGAACGTCGAGTGCGGAACTCATCATTATGTTGATTAGAGGTCGAATCACGAGGTATGAAATCACGACGTTACCAGACTGGCCGGACGTGGTCGGCTTCAGAAGAGTGACAGTGCGCGGCGGTGGCGGTGGCGGTACCACCGGATCCAAGTGCAGGCGTATCTTGGACTTTTCCATGGAAGGCCTCCGCACGATGCTCGACAAGGAATCCGGCTCGGTGTTCAGACGAGAGGAATTGTCGCTGATATTGCTGGTCGCGTATGTACTTTGCGTCTGAAACGAATAATTGTATAATATACAAACGTGTTATCGTCTGAATACTCTTGAAAGACATAACAACAACCACAATTATGCATGAATTATTTTCCAAAATGTTTCGAGAAATATATATACAAAAATGTACGTGTAATTATTTTCTAATAAATGTTTAATGTTAATTTTATTTATTTTTTCTATACTTTTTATATACTGTGTACGAATGATATTTCATCCAATGTCTCTATAAATAGTTCGTAAAATTACTTCTATATTTCAGTTGTTGGAACCATCACTCATATATATATATATATATAGACACTCTCTAAATGTTAAATAGTAATAAATATCACACAAAATGTCGAAGATTGTACCTCACATTCCTCCGACAAGATCTTAATTTTAAGCTCGACAGATCCCGTTTTGGTTCCCCTGAGCGTGAACCAATGGGACTGATCGCTGGTCGACAGCTTTCGGATATCGTCGAGAGTCAATGATACTTTCCCGAGGTAGTCCTTCATGCCGAAAGTATCATGATCCCATAATACCTGTAAGGATCGATTAGAGGATTTTCATTCCCGGACTCCTCCGAGCCGACGATATAAAGTCGCGATGCGGAAATTTGCGAAATTTACGATATCTAAAGTTTCTCCGACTCTCGGCAGGCCCATGATGGAACTTTCATCCCAGCAAGGATTCAGCGTTTTCTTCTTTATGCTACTCTTGTACTTGGTATCGTTGTTCAGCTTCAATTCGCAGAAAGGATCGCTGAAGCCGTTCAGATCCTTCGCGACGAGATCCTTCGCGCGCAACAGCGTCACCTCCATCAAGCCACTTCCGGTGGAGAGTAGACTGGATATGTCGGAGGCGGCGGGATCGGCGTCTTTGTGTGTCAATAACAGCTTCTGAAAGTATTGTGAAAATTAAGCAAAGAAAATATTTTTGTACGATAGAGTACTGTTGATAGAAAATAGTAAGACGATATTTGTTTTCTTTCGTTGAAAAATACAAGATTCCACTAACAGCTTGTTGCATCCACGGTAGGCTGTTCCGTTTGATTTTTGGCTCGTCGTCTATCATGGCTGGAACCATGCTGCTCCTACGGCTAGTGAGCACTTGTTGTATGCTCTTGACGGGATAAAACAAAACGGAGACCGTCATAGTGGAGACAATGTTGGAACCATTGAGCGTAAGTTCTTTCCTGACGATCCAGTTCGTATCCTTCGAGAAAAGGGAACAACAAGAGGATTTTATCGCAGACACACAAGATATCTATCTAAAAAAATATATTTATAAAGTAACAAGTTCCTTCTGTTTGTATTTGAAATAATTGTTACACGTCGTATTTATTTGAAATTACTTCCAGTTTGGAGGGGGATCGTCGAATTACCTGAGACAAAGACAGCATGGCCAGTCCGAGCATGTCCGTGTCCACCGACTTCGAAATATTCCACGAATAAATAACGAAGCTCAGCGACACTTGGGTGTAATCCTGCACTAGGAACTGCGCTCTACAGTCCCAAATCGGCGAGGTGTTCGAGCGTATATAGTGCGTTGTTTTCACCTGGAAGTTCGCAAGAGGTTCACCGTATTTTCTCGCGCATTGTTTGAAAATGATAATTGAAGTGAAAATTGCTCTCACCTTCTTCCGATTGTTGAACAACATGCAGTAAGGGTTGCACTGAGCGGCGTCGCTGTTAAGATTGTCGGCGGAATGAATGTAAACCACTAGTACCCCTGAAAATGATGAAACCCATTGCATTATGAGCGAATTCTTCCGCGGGACATTCCATCGGCTCTGAGAATTCACAAGTTTTACGGACGATAAAATGCAAAGCCTGAAGTTAGTCTTCGCTATCGCTACATCTAGCACAAACCGCGATCTAACGAAACAGTGCGCTATATCAAGGAACACATCATGCTGCACGAACGCATTCATCACTCGACACCACATCGACTTTCATCTACATTTACCTGCTTTGTTCGCTCTGTGATAAGAGTCTCGCGACACTGAAAATATTTTCATACGATAATATTGATCGCGGAAAGGGAAGGAGAGTATCTCGGGTTAGATTCATCGTGGCTTGATAACGCTTATAGTTGATTTCTCTCTTTCCTATGCTTTAATTTTGTTGTTACAAATTTCATATTGTTATATGTACCTGCGAGATGCAAATTATCGACCGCCAAATCCGGCTGCGGTAAGTCGGGATCCAAGTGCGGAAGGGCGGTGTATTCCAGCCGCGCGTTGATGTTTGGGATATTGGCGCTATTACGGGACGGTTTCTTCTGTTGTAACACGGTCTCGACGCTGTCAAAAGCCGAGATGAATGGGTTTAACGCTAAATCGAGGGAAGCCGCGATTTGTCTCCGGCTTTCAACTGAGCTGGTTAATCAGGATTGGGCGATAACTAGTTAGTCAGTTAAGTTAAAAAGAGTTAATAACTTTTAACTTAATTTTTAATGCAAAACTATAGTTTGAATTAACATTCTATTAACCTTTTCTTTTTAAATATAAATTAGAATAATTCATCGATATTAAAATTATTGCGAGCTGTTGAAAGTGAGACAAATAAAAAATAATATTAGCAAAATTTTTTTCGTCTCTCACCGCTCGTGTTCTATTTTTGTACGTAGCATAAAAACAGTTTGTATATTCTTATAATAAACTATCTTTTTATTACTTCACGTAAATTTAATCTATGATTAAAAGGTCATTTATGCCAAACATACACACACGTATATATACGTAGTTTTGCATAATTAATATGTTAATTTAATTTTAACTTAATTAACTAGAATTGTAATTAAGTTTTGCTTAAGCAACTTGACTACATTAATTTTATAGACTTTTAATTTTCTTTAACTTGGTTAAAAGTAAAAATCGACCTACCCGATTAATCCGATAAATCTTTGATTATATATAATAATTTCGATTATATTTAATTATCTCATTCAATTTGATTATGCATCTCGAATAACTGCTTTTTATAAATGATCTTCAAGTTTCGGATGCACCGTACGGTATATACCGTGCGAAATGTGATTAACGTGAGAAACTCAATATTTACACTGACGACGTAACACCGTGAGAGACGAAAAGTGCTAAACTGCGCATATTGTACCACGCCAATGTAACGTAGTCTTTAATTAAACGTGAGCAGCGCGCCACTTACATCTGCGAGTTCTCCCAGTCGTAAACTCCCAACGCTAACTCGAACTGCGCTAAGGTAATGGTACTAACAAGCCGTTTCGCTTTCAGCTTGATCGTCACCCTCTCGTTGTCCAACGGCCCGACCAAGAAGGACACGTCTTCAGTCCACGTGTTGTTTAAATTCGAGGTGATTCGTCTCTGATCGCCCACCGTTACCGCGAGCCATCTCACCTCGTCGGCGATGTTCGCTAGCGGCGGAGAAAGGTTTATTGATCTTTACTTTACAATGAGTACACACACGATAACTTCGTAGGGACGATCTTGTAATACGACGCGTTTGACGACGATAGCGACCGTGGTAGAAGGTCTCACTTAACTACATCGACCGTGTATAAGGAAAATTTTACGTCGACCATTTCATTCTGCATACTCGGGCTCTAACGAGGCGAACGAAGCGAACGAAGTTCAATTGACGTCAATTGAACAAAGATAGTTCAACCGACGTGCTTCGATCGATCACGTGGCCGATTCGAAGCAGCGCGAAGTCAACGAGGACTTTTTCTAGCGAAAATCTATCGGTCGTGCAACATCGTCAGTTGCTCTAACGCGCTTGTGATACTTGGCAACTTCAGACGAAATCCTCTTCTGATGCCGAGCAATCCTTGTGAATTGTACCTCTATTGCATTGTCAAACGGCATTGGGGAAAATTAAGTACCATTTATTGAAAGAGAGGACTTCTTCCACGAGGGGATCCTTACCGGGGCAGCCGTTCTGGCACAGAACAATGGTGAGTACCCCTTGCGGCATGGTATTGCTCACGGAATCCAGTCCGGGACCGGGCCGCTCTTGCGCCCTCAGATCCATCTCCAAGTGGCCCGGATCGACCAGCCAGCTGGCCAGCGCGTCCGTGACCACCGCGTGGATCCAGGTCTTGATCAGAGGCACCTCCATCATTTGCACCGCTCGCAGAATCCTCACGCTGAACCAAACGTCCGGCTTCTCCAGGAAACTTACGCTGAGCCCGGTCGCGTGCGGGAACGGTGCCGACGTGTTCAGACTCAGGTTGACGAGGATCGTGCCCGACAGCGACAACTTCTCCACCGCCAGGTCGATGTCCATCCCGACGCTGTCGGTGCATTTTTACGGAGCACATTAGTACAGTCGCTCCTTTTCCCTCCGCGAGGGTTTGGTAATCCCGCACGATACCACGATATCAATTACTTCCATTACTATTGATTATTCATTGTGAACTAATGATAGTCCATTTTTTACTCATTTCTTTAACGTGCGTTCCTCCAGGTGATGAAATGAAGCAGGTGTATACGAATTAGCATTAATTCATATTTTTATATGTAAGCAGAATACGTATAACCTTACATAAGATAAAAACTGTTCTCTCTTACATGAAGACACATAGTTCTATATAATTCCAGTAAAAATATATTCGGGTGATTCAAAAATAATTTTTATGAATTGAGAGGGAAAAAATTTGGATAGAAAGAACGATATCTTCCAATTAAGAATTATATCAATATGAAGAAAAATTATTTTTAAATAACGATATATTTAACATGAAACTATATGGAATGTCTTCGTGTAAGTTTTGTCTTTACATAAGATCATATATCCTTGCTTATGCATGAAAATATGAGTCTTAAATTGATACTAATTTTTCATTTTGTGTAAGAATATAGAGAAAACCAGAATACAGATCGTTTCGTTTGATTATTCAGATAACGAAGGAAAATATACGAGTGAAAGTTTGGAACGTTGTGTGCGAACGCATAACTTTAATCTCAATTAATTTTCGATACAAATTTCCAGTAAAAATGTAGCGAGGTGAAACATAACGTTAACGTGCGTAAAGAATGTGCAATGGCCGCGATATACGTGTATAAATTTCTCCGGCTCGTTAGAGAGAATACCACGGAATGATTTTTTTATTAATACGACAAGCGCTTCGTGTTTCTCACCCTTTACCAAATAACCGCGTGGTAATGAGCATGCGGAATTGCTCGCAGTCCAGTCGCACGTCCGCTTCGATGGACAGTTTAGTCTGGCCGGAAAGATGCCCATTAGGGAGATCATCGTCGCTGCAGTAATCGAGAGTTCTCACGCGAGTAATGCACGGCGTCTGCTCGCCGAGGGTGAGTTCGCGCAATTCTAATGGACCTGAAACGAGGATCTCATGATAGGTACACGGCGCGGGTAAACGACAAAGTAATTTGAGCGTCCTCCTTTGAGCGTCGGTGATTAATTCCTTTAGTAAGCCTAGTCGGTCTCTCCCTTTCTTTCGCGAGTCGCCTAAGTGTTTCTTTTAGGTATGCGCTTACCTAGTATACCGGGTTTGGCTTCATTAAAGAGAGGCTCCAGTCGTTCCTTCGCTAAGGAAAATATACTGGCGGCGCTGAATCTCCACCTGGGGAAAATAATACGCGACGTTATAGGCGAGAATCGTCGCGCTGTCGTTATAGACAAAGAGTTTCTTTAGATTTAGTACATTCGCTTCGATTTGTTTAATATTATATAAACAACGTAATTTTCATTAATATAATTTCGTACGAATGAAAATTTTATTGTAAATTGTTATTTTACTAAAGTAAACCGTGTTGTTTGATAGAAAAAAAAAACAGTATTATTTGGAGGAAATAATATTTGGATTTCAATAAAAAAAAATTATTTTATTATATATTAAATATTGTTCCATTGAAACAAAGAAGTCCTTCACACGGTCCTTCATCGGTTTTACTTTTCTCAAGTAATTTATTGTTTGCGACAACCATTGCAATATTTGTTTGTTGCAAAGACAAATTTGTTTCAAAGGATTTGTTTTGAAGAAATCTTATTAAATCCGAGGAAATCTTTTTCTCCGTGTACGTGTATACTTGTAGGGCGATAAAAGCATATGATAAAAATGCATAACGTATGATTAATTTATGCTTGTATAAAATTATATTTTATTAGATGATCGTGCAATTTTATCCAGGCCGAACGGTACATATCTTCTATGGTCTATAGTCTCAAAATATAAATTCATTAGATATCTTCTTTCATTATTGTTATCTTGAAGAAAAAAAATCATAGTGAAATAAGACCATAATATGATCAAACCAAAGTAAAAAGTAATCTGCACGTTATATCTAACATTTTTAGTGAAACGCGATTTTTTCATTTCGATCCGCTCGATTATTTCTGCGATCAGCAACGCAGAAAATATTTTCTTCATACGCACTGATTACTTGGATCCTTTTTTTCCCTGAGTTTTCGTGCGCGAGCAGATCTCTCGAGAAGTCTCGCACGATGTGTCGGGACACGATCCATTAAACATTCAGTTTAATTAAGCGAATGGCCAGATTTAATACGATAAAACACGCCACTCGGAGCGTGAAAAACGCGCACTGACGTTTCCATGTCACGACAAATGAGTTATTTCGAGTTTATCGCTAACGACATCTCACTTTCGCCATCGATAACGAGTCGATTCGCATGATACACGATACGTCTGCACACGGCTTCGTGAATCGATCGAAGAAGAACGAGACCGGGCGGGTGAAGTTAACACGCCCACGTGTTTCCCATTCTTTTTCACAATGAATTAATAATGCTCCACCAACTGACGCTTTCACGACGATTCTTCTGAATTCCATCGCTAAATTTTTCCCTTGTGTGTACGTTGCGTTAATCTATAATTGTCTCACAATTGTATTCATAATATTAGCGTTATTAAATTAAAATACGTAAAATTTTACATTCTATCGACGTAAATATCGCCTTTATTATTTGTATCTTGACAAGTATGTTCATGTTAGAAAATCACTGAAAATTGCACTGGTAATTCCATATTATCATCTCTCTCTCTCTCTCTCTCTCTCTCGTGGAAGCGACACATAAAATTGTTTCTGATCGCCCACCGTGAAATATCGTTTTTGTTTAAGCGTCATCGCGCGCGTAGCCGGAGTCTATCCATGGGTTATTATCCCGGGCCTTTCTATGGGGTTCTATGGGACGCTCGATTCTATAGAAATTCCTCCGAAGTCGTCGTACGTTTCCTGCCTTTGCACATGATCAAATAAATGCCGGCGTGCTCGACGCCGCCGTCTGTTTCCTTTATGCGCGTGAGCGTATATAGCGTGTCGCTGAATTCATCGCTTTTTCTTCGCATGTAGATGTTCTCCGCCGGGTCCCCCCGCGGCGAGAACCCGCAGCTGGCTGTTCAGGAATGCTCGAACAGGTCTATCAACTATCCAAATAAGTAGCACTCTTTCCACGCCTATTCCCGTCCGCCGTGCCGGCCGTTTTCAGGTACTGTCAAACGTGGAAACCTCAAAAGGAAACGAAGAGAACGTTGCCGGGACGCCGGGTCCCACAAAACTTATATTTTTCCTTGATACACATACATAATCCTCTCGCGAAATTGCGACGAACGATCCGCGAACGCGTATGTGAATCCGAGTAAATTTCAAATGAGATATCTTGGCGAGGATGAAAAGGAATTTTGAAAGGAGTCAAAACGCGTGCATATTCACTGCGCGAATTTAAATATCTCAAAAGCGTCTCGAAATCCCGGAGATTTTTCGTCATTCTCTTTTACCTCGCAACGTACCGTCGGTGCCATTCATCATTATGATTGAATATATTCAGGTAGAAAGGAATTCGCTTTAATGTATTTTAATTCCGGGGGAGTACGGATAGCTGATTTCTTTCTATTGCATCCGCCATTGGGAATTACATTGAATCGATGTCCGATAAATTTCAGCATCGGCGGTTTATTCCGTTGGACGCGTGTCAGCAACGGAGACGGGACAAAGATTTTATCCGCGGCACCGGCAGAACGTGAAAGGCCACATATACATATATATATATATGTGTGTGTGTGTGTGTGTGTGTGTATAGCAGGAATGTGGTGTGTTTACAAATGCGTATGTAGCACTCGTTCTCGAAGCGGGAGTTCATCGGCCTTTCCGATGTGCGACGATACAATCACGATACACTCACCGGCGTGTTACAATAGTGTTATTACCGCGGATCGGAGCTACACGGAAGAGCGGCTCGCGAGTTCACAAGAAACGTCGCGTTGTAGCGACAACGGATCTGCATCACTGTGCCACATCGGCGAATCTTTCCTCCGAGAATGTCTCCACTTTCGTCGTTTCCCAATTAACCTTGACGTCGCCAATTACACCAACCTCAATTCGTCCGCATGCATAATTCCTCTGGTAAAAATTCACGTGTGACTTTTAGGAGACTCCCAGTAAACTAATCAACTAACAGTAACGTCACACTAACGTTATAATTTCTCACTCAACAATGTGAGCGCGATACAACATGCGTTGTACATGATCGTTGAGCAGGGAACATTGTTGCAATATTACTGTTGGTCGATGTTTATTGGGTCGGCCGATAAAAGTGCAGTAAACATTTTTGCGTTAAGAAGAACGATCTACTGAAATTTCATGCATGTTGACTAAGTGAATGCATTAATTCAACATTTATATTTATGTACTTTTCAACATGATAAGTAACATAATACAATAAAATTTCAGCGAACCGTTTTCAACATAAAATCTTTTTACTGCATGTAGACGCAATCGCGATGCAAGTCACTTTGCAATAATGAATTTTTCCAAGCGGATCGTCAATTATACAACATCTTTGAGGAGGAGCCTTTATTCGTGCGTCCAATGTAAGTAGAGAGACTGCCGCGGGTACGTGGTCCTTCCTCACGATTAGCTTCCGCGGGGAATCATCGATGAAAACTGGTTGAAAACGGTACTTGCCATTTATTGAAGAGCAGACTGAGCCACTCGGCGGTCTCGTCTTTGTACAACGCCCGTCTCCTACGTAACCTGGCCAATTCGTGCTGCAGTTCCGTCTGAAGGAGCCGGGATACTCTCGCTTTAACGACCGTCGCCGCCAGTGCCAGGACCAGAACCAGCCACGCCAACGACAGTCCGGCAGCTCCTATTATCCAGGTGATCGTGAGCGCCGCACCGAGATAGAGAACGGTGCGGATTGCCTCTGCGTCTCTCTGCAAGGATATTTTATCCGGTGCATTCATGCGCGCGTTGCACTCGCATGTTTCACGTGTATATGGAATGAATGTAAAAGGACGTTCTTTTATTTTCTCACCACCTTCCCCGTCGTGTGCATTAATCCGGCAAATAAGCACGATCGCACGATGGGTACGAAAGGGTTAAAGTTTGTCGTCGGTGGAATCAACACATTTGCATCATGACTACTTAAGTTTCTGTGTTCAGACGGCGTTCAACTGACGGTTGGCCCGTATCACCGCGCGCGGCCGTATATCGGCAGTTTTATTATTTTCGTTAACTTCTACAGTACACTCGTTCTACAGTGCACAGTTAACTTCTACAGTAAATGATTTCCGAATAGTTCGTAAAGTTTATTTAATATGGTATTTTTTTAAATGGTCGATATAAAAGAAAGTCGCGGCTCACGGAATATTTCGCGCTCGGTGATAGGAGACGATCGTCATGTGCGGGATATTCCGCTTACGGATGCAAATAGGTTAATTGTTTGCCGATTACTGCGAGACAATTGATTCTTGATCATTCTTGCAGAATAATTAATCAATGATCTGTCTGATTCATCATTGACAGGGTTGAATAAATTTACCTTTTTCTTTTCGTTAAGTATTAAAAACTATCTAAGTAAAAGCTAATTGAAAGTTGAGTTAAATTAAGTTGTTAAAGTTAAAAGTTTCTTATGAAAAACTACATATATATATATATAATTTAGAAGAAGAATAATTAGGTCGGATGTATATAAATAGTTTTGCACAATTAAGTTAATTTACCAAACCGTGATCACTGATAACAGACAGATAATTGGTTCTCCGCGGCTGTGGAGAATCAGAAATATCCTCGTTTTCCTGGGATCTTGCTTCCAAAGATCCACCGAGAAATGAAAGACAGGCAGAAAATCGTAAGATATGAAAATACCAGCGCCACCTTCGCCCACCGTGGCTATATTTGCGCGTTAGGGTATTATTTTCTTCATTGATCTGCCTTCGCGCTTTATTGCCCCGTTGGAGTGATCCGGAACTTTGAAATATGATTTTCTCGTTTTTCGTTCTCCCCTCGCACGTTTATCGCGCGGATACCGTGGCCGTAAGTATCAGCCGATCGGGCGGTGTCGGTGCGCCAACGCAAATACTCGTGTATTACGGGGTAATCTTTTTTTCGTATTCAATGCGGCGCAAAAGAACATTAGCGACAACGGCCGACAATCGGCAGCCGAGTGTACACGCGCGTCCACTGTTGCTCGCAGCGTATCATTAACAGCAATTACCCCGGGAGACGGTACGTACGTACGCATGTATATTTCGCAATTTCAGAATATTCTCGGAAAATATTTTCGTCCCCGGGCGCGCGGAGCGAAAGCTCCCGACGTCACGCGACACTTCGCGACACGTCGTGCCTTCGTCTTGCTAGGATGTAGGACATGATTCCCCATGTGCGTGCACACACGCGACATCGCGTGCACCGACACGCGAAAGAGTTTCTCTGACGTCACCGAACAGCGTCATTAACCTCGTGGTCGAATTTAATTTCGCACGGGCGAAGGAGCGTAAGGAGCTGCGGGTTTTACGGTTTTATATGAGAACTTCATGGATCTCTCTTCTCACATAAAGATAGGCGAAGGAGGAGAGCCGTTATCATTGAATCTATTATCGAGCAAAAATACGCGGATGGCCTCCGTACAGGTGTTCGCGAGCGAAACGGAGCTGTAACGGAGATACGATAAATGTGCCAACGATGAATCTTCTTTGTCGTGGAATAATTTATTCCGTATTAATACGGTTAATACGCAGAAAAATGCGTCCCGATATAATTTTAAGGTATTTTGTTTAATAATTAAGGTGATTTGACGTGATGGCGATTTCTCGTTGCGCGAAACCTGAATTGGTTTCGGAAAAAGGAGATATTAAAAGACGTCAGGGCGAGGTTCCCTCCCCTACTCTTCACTCTCTCTCTTTCTTTCTTCCGCAGAATTTATTACGTACTTCCGAAGAGCAACGCCTGCCCCACTCTTAAAATTAAATAGAGCGATATTAATGCGATGATTACAACGCGGCCCTCGGATCTCATCTTGAGGACGAAAGATACCGGCGTTCCCGTTCGCGCATAACATGCCTTTGCGCAATAGTAATTCAACCTGTTTCGTCAAGAACGTAACGTTTCATTAATTGGAAAGTTGTCCAATGTTAAAAGAGGCGTACCGCATCGTAAAGTACGCGGTGGTCCCCGAGCCGCGTTGGAGCGAGCCGCGTGTGTGTACGTGTGTTTCGTCGAAAGCCATATTTTCCCATTTACAAAATTACAGCGAGGTTCAAATATCATTATCGACAAGATCCTTTACCCTTGCGCACACAATTTACCAGAGCGCGTTAGAACTGCCGACGTGCGAGAAAAACGATTCGAAATGCGGTGCTCGCGTCGATTTCGTCTTAGGATAGGCTGAGTAAAAGATAGAAGTAAAAAGAAAAAAAACACGCGCTTTCTAGAAATTATCATCATTTTTTAGATCAGTTAGATTTTAAACGCGATAAAAAATAACTACGCGATGTGCGATGAAATTACATATTCTTATGTAGCACACAAAAATCTCTTTGCACACGGCCGGTGCTCCTTTCGAATACAGCACACGTTCGAAATTCGTGATCTCGATATACCACGCTTTTCGAGAGAGGAGCGCTAATTACTCCCTCTGTAGAGTAGACTAGAAATGCGCGCGATAATGATCGCAACGAGAAATCCCACGAGTTCCGTGCCGGAAAGCGTTACTTCAATGACTTCCCACGCAGATAATCATTTCAGTTCTGCATCCATAAATTCAGGTCTCGAATAATAAATCAACACGGGGCTCAAGGAGGGATTTCCAGAAACCGTAAAGATCGCGATTCGCCATTCATTCGACAAGCGGAGATACGTCTCTCTCTAGCTGCTTTATAATTGCAACCCTCGCAAATCGTACCGATCAATTGTAATTTTCTCTCGTAGGAAATACGAGATCTCTCTCTCTCTCTCTCTCTCTCTCGTATATTGTTTCGTTCCTATTAATATGCTACTCCCGCGAGATTTCCTCGCGCTGCGATATCAGACAACTGCGTCATTATGTCGGCCGTCGTCGAGAATTCAATTTGACGAGTGACAATATTTAAACAATCTCGCATGCTCGCCCGAGACTCGGATCAGCCTTGCACGGGCTTGACTGAAGCACGGAGAAGCGAATATAGAAAATTGATGAGTCGCGCGACAATAGTCAGAACGCGGCCAATGACGCCGACGAACGTTCAACGTCGTGCGCACGTCGCGAACGTGTCGCCGGGATATCCCGGCTCCTCTCCCATGTCCGCAGAGTATTGTGCCCGTACGGTTGCTTTTACGGAATTGACGATTCAGCTCGCGTGGGCTCCTTTGAAAAAAATGCCACTGGCAGAGACCGGCCGTTGAGATTACTTGTGCTCTCGCGGCGCATTCCGCGCGAGAAATAGTGCCTGCCGCGTTCGTGTTTTTCGTATCGCTCATTCGTGCGATATCGTCGTTACATTATTAATGCGAGAACGCGTGTCCCAGTTTTTCATCCCTCGAGGTTTAGCGGAACCCGACAGTTTGTGAGTAGTTACCGAGCCGTTACTTCGGCTCGATCGGCGTTTGTGTCAAAAATCGATTCAACGAGCGCGAAGACATCCGTTAAGGAGGCTATATGGCTCAGTGTTATATTTTTTGTCGAGGCACGTCAAGAAGGTAACTCATAAATTTAAGAAGCAAAATTAAGCTCTCATACATTTATTTAACTGCCTAAATAATAAATGTTATTTTGAAACGAAGTTGAGTTAAACATAAATGCACACAATGTTACGAAGACGAAAATATTATTTTTCATTTTTCTTGTTAATGCTATTTATTTATGCATTGATATACCTAATAAAGTTGCACAGATAATAGAAAGAGGTAAACAAATATATGTATATGTAATTTGTTTATAATGTCTGCATATATTACACAGAAAAAGTACTAGATTCAAATATATAATACTTTATTTGGATCAAGTAATATGTAGGTAGCTATTTATATTTCTGGCCTTGGTAGCAGTAAGTGTTGCCAGGCGCCATCTGACGTTGTCATTGGAAACTTGACATTGTTGAACATAAGAACACATTGTCATTTGAGCGCGGTTTGTGTTGTTTACAGTGAATTGAAAAATTCATGTCGGGCAAAAAATGGAATTAACTCGTGAACATTTTCGTGCGATTATTTTTCATAACTTTCGACGTGGATTATCAAGACAAGAGTGCATCGATGTACTTAATTTTTTATACAGCGAGAAAGTACCATCCTACAGCAGTGTAAAAAACTGCTATAACGAATTCAATCGTGGCCGACGTTCGCTCCAGGACGTGAAGGTCGTCCAAAATCGGTTGTTGTGCCAGAAAATATCGATGCTGTGCGTGAATGATAGACTGATAAAGCAAGATCGTCATGTGACATACCGTGAGATTGAGGCATCTTTGGGCATTAGTATGACAAGCATCAATAAGATATTGCATGAACATTTGTCCGTAAAAAAAA